GGCTCCTCTCAAGACTATAAAAGGAATGATTGTGCACACGCTTGTTGCAGGAGTCAACGTATTCACTAGAGCTGGAGAAGCTTTCGTGGCTATTTTGGCAGGCTGGATTGCTGCCAAGGTTAGTCTGTGCTGGATTGCTGCCAACGTCTTGTCTGTGTGTTAATAAATTCTTGAAGTATCTTTGTCTCGGCGTGGTTTGGAGTAGGGCGAGGGGGGTCAGAACAGTAAACTATACATTTTTGTGGCAGAATGTACTATATTCAGTTGAAAATATAATATTAAAGGAAAAACTTAATTCTAAGCAAAAGTGAGATAAGCTTCTTCCTAGCATTTCTGATGTAGACATTTTCTATTTCCTTAGGTGCAGGCTGAGCTCAAGAAGACATGGGCTAAGTGGCACTTGGCCATGGACTGGAAGAGGACTGTTCCTTGTGGGAATTCTCACTGTGGTTCTGTCCTCACTAACGTGACTCAGAGCACCAGCAGCCACGCTCACATGGGTGCCAGCTCCCGCATGAGGCTAGTTTCCAGCAAGGCATGCAGGAATCGCCCAGGGCAGAACGATGCCCATATAAACTTGCCTGGGTATGTTAGAAGCAACTCTGAACATGACTGCATTCCCCAGTGGGCTCAGGAAGAGGCTGATGAAGAGGAAGAGAAGAGGCTGGATGGTATTTCTCTCAAAAAACCTTCTAGACTTCAGAACAATCATGCATCTTTTCTTGAGGAAGAAGCGAACCAAGTGGAAATAGAGGCATCGCTTTAAAAGTTCGGGGGGCAGGGAAAGGATTACAAATGTGAAAATGCCATCACAACTTTTATTTCGACTCACCTAATCCAGACCCATGTACAGAATTTCTTAGCCAGAGACTTTCTCCAACCAGTAATGTATCCAAAATCATGTTGAGTGGAGATTATGGTTCTTCAACATCTGAACTCTGATCTCTTCATAATGACTTTTTGTTGCATGATATTTGTGTGTTAGCAAGAAGCAAAGGTTCTTACAATGATAACATTTAAATACCGTTATTTTGAGTCAACTGACATTTAAAAAGAATTCGGAAGCAAAAAGAAACTATATTCATCAGCGATGTTGAGTAATAAGTCCTAAATCTTAATATAATTCTGACTTGAAGACTTTTCCTCTCAAAGTAAGTATTACAAATCCACACATATCTATACTATAGTCAGAACCTAGCATGGATGACATTTTGACTGTATAAAGCCCTGAAATATTTTTTGAATTTTACATTTTTGTGTTATGAGGTACCTGGTATCACCAAGTTGAGTTGGGTGACCAGACAAATTTTATAAATAATATAACACGACTAGAAAATTCAAAATGGAATACAGACCCCAAGTGGCAATTAATATAGAAATAATAAAACCAGAAAATTCCGCAAAATATTTTTTGTTGGCAAAGTTCTTTTAGGATCTTATTATCCAGCTAAAAACTATGGTGGCATAAATGGCCCTTTTTTCTTTCAAAAAGTAATTCCAAGTATACTTCTTTGACTAGTGCA